TCTGCGTGCGAGCGAGTCTACGTGCATGAATGCGACTTTGACAAAGCATGGTGCAATTGTATATAAAAAGTCAATAGTTTGAGAATGACTTCCTTTGGGTACTCGTGACGCTGGGCGTGGCCGCCGCAAGGAGCTTCCCCGGGACTCCCCGATGGCATCGCCCGCGCGCCGCGACGCCACCGCGAGGATCGCGCCCGCTTCCTCCCTTTTTTTCCCAACCATCCTGTGGTGTTGGGTCCTCGTTTTGAAGAGACAGCGCCCCGCGTCCAACCTCCTCCTCCTCCTCTCTCCTCCCCCTCCTCCCTCCTCCCATCATCACCACCACCATCATCATCATCATCATCATCGTCATCATCATCATCATCATCATCATCGTCATTGTCATCGTCGTCATCGTCATCGTCATCGCCCACTTCGGCACACCCCTCACACGTTTCGTGGCCCCATAGGGAGCTCCACCGAAGGCCCGAGGGCTGCCGCCCGCATGCGTCCCCTACACCTATTTCGGCACACCCCTCACACGTTTCGTGGCCCCATAATAGGGAGCTCCACCGAAGGCCCCAGTGCTGCCGTCCGCATGCGTCCCGCACACCCATTTCGGCACACCCCTCACACGTTTCGTGGCCCCATAGGGAGCTCCACCGAAGGCCCCATGGCTGCCGTCCGCATGCGTCCCGCACACCCATTTCGGCACACCCCTCACACGTTTCGTGGCCCCATAGGGAGCTCCACCGAAGGCCCCATTGCTGCCGTCCGCATGCGTCCCGCACACCCATTTCGGCACATTTCGGCACACCCCTCACACGTTTCGTGGCCCCACAGGGAGCTCCACCGAAGGCCCCAGTGCTGCCGTCCGCATGCGTCCCGCACACCCATTTCGGCACACCCCTCACACGTTTCGTGGCCCCACAGGGAGCTCCACCGAAGGCCCCAGTGCTGCCGTCCGCATGCGTCCCGCACACCCATTTCGGCACACCCCTCACACGTTTCGTGGCCCCATAGGGAGCTCCACCGAAGGCCCCATGGCTGCCGTCCGCATGCGTCCCGCACACCCATTTCGGCACACCCCTCACACGTTTCGTGGCCCCACAGGGAGCTCCACCGAAGGCCCCAGTGCTGCCGTCCGCATGCGTCCCGCACACCCATTTCGGCACACCCCTCACACGTTTCGTGGCCCCATAGGGAGCTCCACCGAAGGCCCCATGGCTGCCGTCCGCATGCGTCCCGCACACCCATTTCGGCACACCCCTCACACGTTTCGTGGCCCCACAGGGAGCTCCACCGAAGGCCCCAGTGCTGCCGTCCGCATGCGTCCCGCACACCCATTTCGGCACACCCCTCACACGTTTCGTGGCCCCATAGGGAGCTCCACCGAAGGCCCCATGGCTGCCGTCCGCATGCGTCCCGCACACCCATTTCGGCACACCCCTCACACGTTTCGTGGCCCCACAGGGAGCTCCACCGAAGGCCCCAGTGCTGCCGTCCGCATGCGTCCCGCACACCCATTTCGGCACACCCCTCACACGTTTCGTGGCCCCACAGGGAGCTCCACCGAAGGCCCCAGTGCTGCCGTCCGCATGCGTCCCGCACACCCATTTCGGCACACCCCTCACACGTTTCGTGGCCCCATAGGGAGCTCCACCGAAGGCCCCATGGCTGCCGTCCGCATGCGTCCCGCACACCCATTTCGGCACACCCCTCACACGTTTCGTGGCCCCATAGGGAGCTCCAGGCCCCACAGGGAGCTCCACCGAAGGCCCCAGTGCTGCCGTCCGCATGCGTCCCGCACACCCATTTCGGCACACCCCTCACACGTTTCGTGGCCCCACAGGGAGCTCCACCGAAGGCCCCAGTGCTGCCGTCCGCATGCGTCCCGCACACCCATTTCGGCACACCCCTCACACGTTTCGTGGCCCCATAGGGAGCTCCACCGAAGGCCCCATGGCTGCCGTCCGCATGCGTCCCGCACGCCCATTTCGGCACACCCCTCACACGTTTCGTGGCCCCACAGGGAGCTCCACCGAAGGCCCCAGTGCTGCCGTCCGCATGCGTCCCGCACACCCATTTCGGCACACCCCTCACACGTTTCGTGGCCCCATAGGGAGCTCCACCGAAGGCCCCATGGCTGCCGTCCGCATGCGTCCCGCACACCCATTTCGGCACACCCCTCACACGTTTCGTGGCCCCACAGGGAGCTCCACCGAAGGCCCCAGTGCTGCCGTCCGCATGCGTCCCGCACACCAGGTGTGTGGCGTGCCGACATGGGCGTCGCGGCGCGCGGGCGCTGCCGTCGGGGTTCCCAGGGAAGCCCCCTGCAGAGGCGACGCTCAGAGTCACGAGTACCGAGAGTCACGCAGACCCAAACTGTTCACAGTCGTATACATACATTTACACTGGGCGTATCCATGCACGCATTCATGCGAATAGAATCAATCGCGCGCAGATTCATTCATAATCAGACTCGCTCGCGATCCGACTCGCACGCGCTCAAGCTTTCATATTCGGACCTATCGTCTTCGTTCGTGTTGTGTACACTGCCACGCATTTCGGCACACCCCTCATACGGCTCGTGGCCCCATAGGGAGCGCCACCGAAGAAGATATTCACAATTGCGGTACTCTCAACTGCATATGGTTGGGTCCTTCGCCAGGCTAATTTACTCCCCCTTTGCCCGCGCATTCAAAAGTCCAAGGCTGCGGGCGCAGCGCAGCGCGGAGTCCCAGCGACGCGCGCAGGTCGCCCCGGAGGGGTCCCAGCGACGCGCGCGGGTCGTCCGCTGCGCGCAGCAACAAGAGCTAGCTGGCTGGCTGATAGCGGGCAAGGCTCTTGCCGCTTGGCAGAGCGACGACGGGCGAGCGAGGCGCGGAACTCCGACGGCCTCCGGCGGAGGTGTACTGGGTGGGGGAGACGCATGCGGACTGCGCCACGGGGACCTTCGGTGGAGCTCCCTATGGGGCCACCAAACGCGTGGAGGGTGTGCCGACATGGGTGTGCGGGACGCATGCGGGCGCACCCACTGGGACCTTCGGTGGAGCTCCCTATGGGGCCGCGGAGCGTGTGAGGGGTGTGCCGAAATGGGTGTGCGGGACGCATGCGGGCACACCCACTGGGACCTTCGGTGGAGCTCCCTATGGGGCCACGAAACGCGTGAAGGGTGTGCCGAAATGGGTGTGCGGGACGCATGCGGGCACACCCATTGGGACCTTCGGTGGAGCTCTCTATGGGGCCACGAAGCGTGTGAGGGGTGTGCCGAAATGGGTGTGCGGGACGCATGCGGGCACACCCACTGGGACCTTCGGTGGAGCTCCCCATTGGGCCACGAAGCGTGCCGAAATGGGTGTGCGGGACGCATGCGGGCACCCACTGGGACCTTCGGTGGAGCTCCCTATGGGGCCACGAAGCGTTGGAAGGGTGTGCCAAAATGGGTGTGCGGGACGCATGCGGGCACACCACATTTCCTTCGGTGGAGCTCCCTATGGGGCCACGAAACGTGTGAGGGGTGTGCCGAAATGGGTGTGCGGGACGCATGCGGGCACACCCACTGGGACCGTCGGTGGAGCCCCCTTATGGGGCCACCACGCGCGTGGAGGGTGTGCCGACATGTGTGTGTGTGTGTGTGTGGGACGCATGCGGGCACACCCACTGGGACTTTCGGTGGAGCTCCCGATGGGGCCACGAAACGTTTGAAGGGTGTACCGGAATGGGTGTGCGGGACGCGTGCGGGCACACCCATTGGGACCTTCGGTGGAGCTCCCTATGGCGCCACGAAGCGTGTGATGGGGTGTGCCGAAATGGGTGTGCGGGACGCATGCGGGCACACCCACTGGACTTTTCGGTGGAGCTCCCTATGGGGCCACGAAACGTGTGAAGGGTGTGCCAAAATGGGTGTGCGGGACGCATGCGGGCACACCCACTGGGACTTTCGGTGGAGCTCCCTATGGGGCCACGAAACGTGTAAGGGGTGTGCCGACTTGTGTGTGTGTGTGTGTATGTGTGTGTGTGTGTGTGTGCGGGACGCATGCGGGCACACCCACTGGGACCTTCGGTGGAGCTCCCTATGGGGCCACGAAGCGTGTGAGGGGTGTGCCGAAATTGGTGTGCGGGACGCATGCGGGCACACCCATTGGGACCTTCGGTGGAGCTCCCTATGGGGCCACGAAGCGTGTAAGGGGTGTGCCGAAATTGGTGATGACGATGATGATGGTGGGAGGAGGAGGAAAAGGAGGAGGAGGAGGAGGAGGAGGAGGAGGAGGAGGAAGAGAGGAGGAGGAAAGGAGGAGGAGAGGAGACGCGGGCCACCGTCTTTTCAATCCGAGGACCCAACACCACAGGATGGTTGGGCAAAACACGAGGGGCCGAACTCCGCTGGCGGGAGTTCGGCGGAGCGCAGCGGAGGTAGAAGCTGCGCCCCCATTTTATTTGCGTTTTTCCCAGCCTTCCTGTGTGTTGGGTCCTCGTTGTGAATTCGCAGCGCCGCGCCCCACCTCCTCTTCCTCCTCCTCCTCCTCCTCCTCCTCCTCCTCCTCCTGTTTGCCTCTGTTCCTCCACTCCCTCTCCCTCTTCTTCACCTACACGCTTCGTGGCCCCACGGGGAGCTCCACCGAAGGCCCCAGTGGCAGGGCCCGCGTGCGTATTCGGGCCCGTTTCAGCACCCACACACTCGCACACACGCACACACCCACACACGCACACACGCACACGCGCACACGCGCACACGCGCACACGCGCACACGCACACACGCACGCGCACACGCACACGCACACGCACACGCACACGCACACGCACACGCACACGCACACGCACACGCACACGCACACGCACACGCGCACACGCACACGCGCACACGCACACGCTTACGCACACGCACACGCACACGCACACGCACACGCACGCACACGCACACGCGCACGCACACGCACACGCACACGCACACGCACACGCACACACAGGCGGTGGTGGAGGCAAAGGCGCAGGCTCCATCTCGGCGCAACTGCTGGAGATGCAGAAGCGGGTGTGCACTTTCACGTCGGAGCTCAAGCTGGCGAAGGCGAAGGCTCTTGACGCGAGCGCGCCCCCCGCCAGTGTCGAGAGCGGCGAGGGTGACACTGGTGCCGAGTTTGCTGTCACAAAGCGGCTGGACGAACTGGATGGTTTTCTCAAGCAGTTGGTTGGCGTCGACACTCCAGAGGTTGCCCAGCTGGTGGCCCAGTATAAAGCTGAGCAGGTCAAGTTGCGGGCACAGCTTTTTCAGGAGAAACCGCCGTCGCAGTAGCTCAAAACTTTCGGTTTCAATGACACCAAGGTCGAGCAGCATACCACCAAGCAGCAGAACGTCCGCGAGGCGAAGCAGGCGCAGCAGGTGGCCCTGCAGGCGGAGTTCGCCTCGCAGGAGGCTGTGCTCGCGGAGTCCCGCAAGCAGCTGCTCGAGCTCGAGAGCCAACGGGCCCAGCTCTATGGCGCTCTGCCGCAGGCGCCCACGGGGCCACCTGGCGCCGACGCTGGCAACGACCAGAGCAGCTGGACGCTGCCCAAGCTGGAGCAGGTGCTTTTGGCTGCTGGCACTGCTCCTGACCTGCAGCAGGAGGTGGCTGCAGTGGTGGGCAAGATTCGCCAGCACCGCCAGACCCAGGAGGAGCGAGCCCAGGCCCAGCGAGAGGCCAACGAGAAGCAGGCAGCTGAAGCAGCTGCCCAGGCAGCCACAGAGCAGCAGGATGCTGCCATGGCAGGCGACGCCGATGAGGTCCAGGGGGTTGCGTCGGTCGACCAGGCCAATGCAGAAGAGCTTCGCGATTACCTGCGCGACTCTGGTGCTGAGTTCCCTAATGCTGCTGAAGCCTCCGAGGATGAACTCCGAGCAGCGGTCAAGCGCCTCCGCCTGGCCAGGCCCAAGTGGAAGGTGGTCAAGAAGCCACGCGCGGCCTAGTTCTCCCTGTCGCCGGTCATGACGAGAACCACGTTGCAGATTACCACAGTTAATGCCAACTCTTTGGGCACATTGTCCAAGTACCTCGTCGACTGCAGCAGTGGCGCGGTCATCGCGCAGGAGCACCACGCGCGCTCTGACAAGCTCTCTGAGGTGCAGGGTGACGCCCAAGACTCTGGCTGGCGCGACGCCCGGTGCCCCGCGTTGCTCACCGCGGCAGGGGGCGCTGAGGGGGGCGTCGCGGTCCTGGCCAAGACCGACATCGCCGTCACCCAGGCGCCGCTGTTGGCCGACGGCATCATTGTGCCAGGCAGGGCCGTGGCGGCCCATGTCCATGCTGCCCTCACTGGCGGCTTCGTGGCGGTCGCTCTCTACCTCCGCACGGGCGAGGGCAGGTCGCCCCGCAACCTGGCGCTGGTGCGGCAGGTCGTGCAGTATGTGAAGCGCGCGGTCGCAGGCCCTGGGCGGGCGTGGGTCGTCGGTGGCGGTTTCGACATGTCGCCGCAGGAGCTGCTGGAGCATGACGGGCCCCCTTTGGCGAGCGCCAGTTGCGTTGCCCCGCTGGTGCCGGCCTGCATGCAGGCTGTGCCTGCCACGACGCTGGACTGGTTCCTGGTGCATGGGCCCATGCTGCGTGGCGTCGCGTGCGAGGTTGGCGCCTCCGTCACTGACGTCGACATCACCTGGCCGCATCGGCCCGTCACGCTGGCCATTGCCAAGCGCGCAGAGCCGCCGATCGCTCGCCCGCGAGCTCGACGAACCCAGGCCCTTTCCTCGGGGGCTGCCCGTGGGGCGTGCGCGCTGCCCCTGGCGCGGCTGGGGGCCGGTATACGGCTCCATCGAGCAGGCGCAGTCTTCCCGAGCTCGCGACAGCATGGGATTTGGTCCTCCGAGGCGTCAGGTGGGGCTTGCAGGAAGACGCGACATCGTCGGCTCTCGCAAGCGGCGCTACGCGGGCAGAGAAGGCCCAGTCCAGCAGCGCACGCGCCAACTCCAGCGGCGCCCTCCTGCGCGACGAGCTCGCCGCGGGCCCGACGTGAGCGCGTGGACTGTTGCGGCCGGGCGGGCTCAGCACATCATGCAAGTGCGCGGCTACGCGAGCAAGACAGTCGCCCAGCTCGCAATCTCCCAGGACGATCAGAAAGACGAGCAACGAGGTGGTCAGGTGGACCCCTCATCGCGCGCGCCCTCTGTCCTTTCCAATGGCAAGCGGACCGCGCAGGGGGGGCAGAAGCGGTCAGGTGGACCCTGCGGCTACCCCCTCAGAGGTCAGGCTAGCTCTGGTTTCGACTTTGGAGGCTGACTTGTTTGATTTAACGATGGTTGGAGAGCGTGGCCCGAACGTGATCGACGGCAGCGCAACTGCACGCGCCCCGCACCCCCAGGGGAAAGGGCCTGCTGCTCGTGGGGCCCACAGCGGTGGGGTGGCCGATGCCGCCGCACACGTTGTTGTTCCTGGCCGCCTGGCGAGGTGCTGCGACGCTCGCCCCGTCGCCCCCCCTGCAGGCCCGAGCGAGGCCCGCAGCGGTGGGGTGGCCCAGGCCCTCGCACAGCTCGTTGCCCCTGGCGGCCCGGCGAGGTGCTGCGACGCTCGCCCCGACGCCCCCGCTGCAAGCCCGAGCAAGGCCCACCGCGGTGGGGTGGCCGATGCCCTCGCACATGGCGTTGCTCCTGGCGGCCTGGCGAGTCGCTGCGACGCTCGCCGCGTCGCCCCCCTGCAAGCCCGAGCGAGGCCCACAGCGGTGGGGTGGCCGATGCCCTCGCACGCAGCGTTGCTGAAGGCGGCATGGAGAGGTGCCGCGACGCTCGCCCCGTCGCCCTCCCCGCGAGACCGTCGCTGCGCAGCGTGGGCGGCGAGATGGGCCCCTTCGACGAACTGGGTGCGACGCCGCTGGGCGCCAAAGAAGGTCAGGGTGGTCTGGGGGCTGGCGGCCCGCAAAGACCTGGTCAGGACCCCCGCCCCCGCTGGTCGCGCTACCCGCGTGGAGGTCGTTCGTCGCTCAGATGGACGCTGGTGCAGTGAAGATAGCCAGGCTCCAGATCCCAGTCTCGCCCACGATGGACATGGAGGTGGCGCTGCATGGGCGGGGCCCGGCGACCTGCCCAGGCTTGGTCAGGGCGCCTCCCCGTTGGGCTCGACCCACGGGGGGTCTGCGCATGCCGCGATGGACGCTGGTGAAGATTGCCAGGCCCCGCCCGAGGACCGCGGCGAGGGCCCCGACCAGGTAGTGGCGCAGCGACGGCAAGAAACATGTCAACGGGGGCTCCGACGGTACACCCAGCACTGGATGAGCGACCCGCTTAACGACCAGCAGACCGAGCAGGACGTTCTCGACGATTGGATGGAGTAGTGCGTGCCGTACACAGCGGAGCAGCTGCGGGGCCCAGTCTTCGATGCCCTGTGGGGCGGTGGCGGCTGTGACGAGGCCCTACCAGGAGATGCGCGACGGTGGCATCGGGCCCGTGAGATGTGCGAGTCGGCCTATCGGGCTGGCAGCCGCCGTCGCGGCCGCGACCGAGCTCACCTCAAGCAGCTGCGCCAACGCCCTGGGGAGGACTGGGCCGAGGCGGTGGACATGCATTCACGAGCCTTCGAGCAGCAGCGGGAGTGGCTCGACCGGCGCTCAGGCGATCGAGCGGGCCGTGCACCTCAGCCGTGGCCTCCAGGAGCTGCCGGAGGCATGGTCTTCCACGGGCTGCAACACTACGCTACGCGCGGCTCCATGGCCTGGCCGCCGAGCTGCTCGCCTTCGAGGCGTTCTGTGGGCTCATCAGCAAGCAGCAGCGCATCCTGAGGCACCTGGATGGCGGCGCGCGTGAGATCTTCCAGGCCGGCCCTGAGATGCTGGCCAGCCGCTCGGTGGAGGTCCGACTGCCGGGCATCGTCGCCAAGGCCAAGCAGCTCACCGCGGAGGCTGAGGCTAGGTGCGCCAAAGCATGGGCCACTTGGGCGAAAGACGCGTTCGCGGGAGGCGCTGGGCTGGCGCGCCGGTTCACCAAGCCGAGGCAGGAGGTAGAAGTCCCACGGGCCAATGTGAGTGGCCACCCTTGCGACCTCGCGAACACCGAGCTCGGCGACTGGAAGGCCATTTTTGAGCATCGCCAGCTCGGCGAGGCCTCGCTCCCTCCTGGTGCTGAGCATTGGCCAGAGCCCCCGCACCTCGCGGTGCAAGACCTGCGTTCGGCCATCCGCTCTTTCAAGCAGGGCGCGGCCGTTGGCCAAACAGGCCTCCGCCCGAAGCAACTCGACGCCCTCTCCGACGAGGCTTTGCTGGCGCTGTCGCGACTATTCCTCGCCTGCGAGCATCGCCTTGGATGGCCGCCGCAGCGCATCGTGACAGTCCTAGTCCGATTACCAAAGGCTGGAGGAGGCATGAGACTGATCGCGCTACTCAACATGGCGGTTCGCCTCTGGAGTCGCGCGCGGCGCCCGCTGGCAGCCCAGTGGGAAGCCACCCATCGAGAGGAGCACGCCTGGGGGCTTGGCCCAGGCAGGAGTTCTTCTGCCTCCGCTTTCGCCCACAACCTGTCCTAGGAGATTGCGCTGGCCAGGCGACAGGACGTGATCGTACTCATGGTGAACTTGATGAAATGTTTCGAAATGGTTGCGCCTGTAGTGTTGGTGCGCGAAGTTATCGAAGTGGGATTCCCACCGAGACTGGCATGGCTACTGGTGCAGTTATTCTGCAAGCCTCGCGTGGTGCGGGCCCACGGCAGCAAGAGCGAGGTCTACATCTCCTTCCAGGGCATCGTGGCATGCTGCTCGCAGGCGACCACGCTCCTGGCGGCGCTGATGCACATAGCCACGCTGCGGCTCAGCGCCCTCTGCACTACGCTGCAGAACAGGCAGTTGGTGGGCGATGCGTCGTTGCAGTGGACTGGCCCGCTGGCCGCAGTTCGCTGGAGCTCGGCGAAGGCATCGACCAGCTCACGGACGAGCTCAAGTCCCTCAAGCTGCCCATCCAGATCAAGAAGCTGGGCAGCGTGGCTTCGTCAAGTCGCGCTGCACGGCGGTTCAGCTTGGCGGGGGGGGCTGGCAAATCACAGGCCTACCGTGGATCCGCAGACCCGGGCACGAGTTGGGTGGGCCCAGAGTGCGACGCCGCCAGGGGGCCGACAGACTTGCGCAGCTACGCGGCCGAGTTCGACGATCCATGGTTCTCAAGAAGGCAGTGGGTGCCATGCGCATGACGCGCACCCAGACGGCTGGTTTCACACCCTCGGTCACGCACGGGGCCTCGGTCAATGGGGTCGTAGACGCCGCGCTCAAGCCGATCCGATCGGTAGCTGCCATGTTGGCAGGGGTGCGCCCCACGGGCAGCATCTGCATGGGCATGCTCATGCAGGACCAGGCGCTGCACGACCCGCTCTACACGGCGATCACCAGCATCGTCTACATGTACGCGACCCAGCTCTGGGAAGGCCGGGTTGAGATGCAGGCCCTCAGCGCCACGTGGCGGTTCGTGGACGGCCAGATACGAACCCAGCCCAGCTGGGGCAGAGTGCGTGGACCCATCGGCGCGCTGTGGCTTTCTTTGGCTCGGATCGGTTGGCGGCTCAGCTCGGCTACCACGTTCGAGACCGACCTTGGCACTGTGTTGCACTTCCTAGAGATGTCACCTCGCGACGTCCGTGACCAAGTCAACCAGGCGCTGGCTGTTGGCGCGGGCCGAGAGCCACATCGAGGGGCACAGCGGCGAGCAGTTCTGGCACCGCGGCATTCGGCGGTGCGTGGAGAAGGCCCTTCGGGATCCTTCCGAGCGGGGCTCGCTGCAGTGTGTTTGGACTGATGCGATGTGGCCACGCCAGGAACAAGTTTGAGAAGAGACTGACCTCTGATGGCCGTTGTCTGGCATGCGGTGCACAGCGTGAGGCCCGCGGCCATCGTTGGCACAAGTGCCCTGCGCTCCTGAACCCTGCTCTGCACGAGACGGAGCCCCCAGAAGCCATCATTCAGACCCGCGAGCGTTCGAACCAGCAGGCCCTGGAGTCTGCCCTGGATGAGCCCCATGAGGCCCTGAGGTGTGCCTCTGCCATCCCGCTCGAGCCCCCTCCCGATGAGACTCCGCCCGTGTGCCCCGATTTTCGTGTACCATTGGGGAGATGCCGAGCTGCCTTGGGGCGGCCGTCTGTGCATTGATGGCTGTGGTTTCGGCGTGGGCACTCCTGAGATTGCCAGATGTTCGTGGGCCGTGGTCCAGTTGCGAGACGACGGCTGGCCCTGTAAGGCGATGTTCGGCAGTCGTCCAGGGGTGCAGACGGTGGCCAGAACTGAGAGAGATGCTGGGTTGATCGCTACTTGCCTCTCCCCTCAGGTCACTAGTCTTGTCTCGGACCATTCAAGCTTTGTGGAGGACGGGCAAAGGTGGAGCCCTCGCGACACGTCCGCCTCGGCTCGCCACGCTGCCCTCTGGAGAGCCCCACGTGCCACGGTGGCCCGCTCAGACAGGAGGCCGCCGTCGTTTGGATGGATTCCCTCGCGCAAGTCCCTTGCCCAGGCGATCGAGCCCAATCTTGACCTCCAGGATTGGCTCGGCAATGGGCGGGCCGACCTGTTTGCCAGTGTTGCCCTGGACCTGGCCAGCCCGCCAAGAGC